ATATAAAACAGCTTTTTTTACACAACATCTGACATACCTCACCAACATATTTCTGAACTAATTCTGAACCAATAACACGAATGAAACAGGCATCTGTTCTGTTAGCTACCGCTCTAGCACATAAAGTCTTTCCTGTGCCTGGAGGTCCAAACAACAAAACACCTTTTGGTGGTTCAATACCAAGATTGACAAATTTTTCTGGCTGTAATTAATACTTGTTACATTAATATTTGTTATATTTTGTTAACAAATGTAATGTATGATTATATTATAATAGTATGATTATAAACCAACATGTAATAGTGGCGTTTCGACGACTTCTCTCAATTTCTCAATTTGTTCTTTGCAGCCACCAACGTCACTATAGGTAACATCAGGTTTTTCTTCTACTTGCATCATTGTCACAGTAGGATCAATTTTAGATGGCAGAGGAATATGAATTTGATACTTGTTGCGATCTACTCCTACTCTCATACCTTCTTCTATATCTGTTGGCGCTACAGAATCTGCCAAGTCAACTACAAACTTTGCAAACTGTTTCACATTTATTATATATTTTGGATCGTCAGAATCTGCATTTATGATTTTGGTACAGCGTGCCACTTGCAGAGGTTGTTCATTTTGCAGAGTTTGTTTGTCAGCTGCTAAGTCCCAAAGTGCTGGTGGTGCCAGACCGGTATCAGACTCTTTGATCCCAGTTAATTCATTCACACGCTTGATAATTGTTTGGATGTCCTCTTCAACAGTCTTAATACTTTTCGTATATTGTCCTTGACCCTAATTAAAACAAAAATTTACAAGGATTCTAAACAACATTCATATAGCAAATGAGCATTCATCTCTGTATGTTGATTTTAAATTTCTCTTTTAACAACATAACGATGATTAACTCACATAAGTCTTCAATAAAGCGATGTCGCCTTCATCGAGTGCTGAAAATTCAGGAGACAGCCTTTAGGAAATAGAAATTATGACAAGATTGACAATAAAGTTACGAAATGGAGCTCACATTTTATCTCCTTCTCTTCTTTCTCCTCCTCGTTCTTCACCTTCCGCATATCTTCTCCTAGATGATCCGGCATGTTCGCTTTTGTTAATTCTGCTTGCTCACACTACGCTTTTGACGTTCGTTATTAATAAAATTAACAATTCTGATTCCCAGGATTTCTTTGAGGTTACGTTCCTTCTGATTACAAGCAAAATCAGTAAAGACTCCGAAGCGACATCTGGGGATCGATTCTGTATCTTGAAATAAAGTAAAAATTATAAAAATGAACGAATTTACTAGAATACTGATTATTTCATTGATCAACACCTAATAAATTCGCTTACTTTTGTAATTTTCACCTTATTTCAAGATACAGAATCGATTCCCTGTTGCAGATGAATAATGATCAAATTAAGTCTGTTCGTATTTGCATTTTTTGCACTAATGCCTCGAGATCACTCAATAGTTGAGTGAGCGTTCACTATTATTGGTGTATTCTTTTAGATCATCCAATCAGCATTTTAGATCTGGTTTTACCCTTAATATAAGCAAATAACAAGCATGTATTGATTTACTGTGTTACACTGGTTTGATCTGATTATATTCTTGCTGAAAAACCTGGTTCTTATTTATGGATTTATCCATTTATGTTCAACCGACCTACGAGCAAGAGTTCCGAAATTCATCGAAAGAAAAATGTTGCAACTTTTCTATAATCGGCTATACGATATAATCGGCTCGTACATCTCTATTATGTTTCTTCTCGTTCTTTGCATTTATTCATTTTCTCTTTTCTTAATTCCCTTCCCCTCATTCTTTCTTTCTTCCTCTCTTTCATTACTCATTCTCACGCCTCTGCATCTCGTGTGACGATCGATACTATTGATCTTTTCGAAGGAAGTGCAGAACCGCCCAAGTCGCGTTGCATGCACCGGATCATGAAGGATCCTTGACCGGGATGATGCGTGGAAGAATGTAAAGTAACGAAAGAGAGACCGAGATATGCGTATAACACTTTCACCTGTCCTACCTTATTCGTTCACTATGATTCATTTAAGATGCATTTGCACATTTCAACGTGATGTTTCTTCTTTTTTTTCTATCTTTTTTTTCAGTCTAAAACATTTTCTTCATCGACACTTAAAAAGTTAAATAAAAGAATTTACAAAATTATACTACTCTAAAAAGTAGAGTTTGAACAGTATAAGAGATAGATAGAAGAGATATAGATAGAATTAGAAGTTCAAGAATAAAAAAAAATGTTCAAATTAATGAAATAATGACACGTAATGAAGAAATATAAATTTTGTCTATCTGTGAACTTATATAATTTTTATAGATTTATCGTCGTTAGAAATCTATAAATTTCTATACATATAAAATGTACATATTATGGATTATAATGTTATATTATGCAATTATATATACATGTATGTATACATACACATACAAATAATAGCAATTAATTTATATTTATATAATATGTTTGATGTACAATAAACGTACCTTTGTATAAGTGTTCGCTGCAGGCGTAATGTACGCGAACTTCAACTACAAACTTATATACGCTCTCTCATCCTTTCGTGTTGCATATTAGAGAGGTCAGGGTGTCTAACACTATCTACAGTTGTAATCTCATTATCGTAAATCTTTTACGTCGCATTATTTATTTTTGATCAATCTATTGCAGCTTTCGACAGGATTCTTCATCGAGGCATGAAAAGTCAATATACTTACAAAAAAGATCAGTAACAATGAAACATTTCATTAAATTCTATACATTCTTTCAATATGTTAGAATTGATTTTTTATATA